TYCSSMAAAAAAACTTCAGGATAAAATATCATTTTGAAGAGAAAATCGAAGTTAAAGTTGTATCCAAATCAGGACAAATCTCTTATGTTCATATAAAGTTGTGGTCACGGCAATGATTTTCCATTGTGTTTACCTAGTTATGAGTTATTAATGAATTTGATAATTTCATTATGTTTTTCAGACTTCAACATCATTAGAAGGAAGTCAGGTATATGCACTGCTATTCCACTTCTTATTTTTTGCACCCTGTTTGATAGAAATTTATGAACAAGGATTTCTCTGTGAAAAAAGTAGAGAGACAAAACATTTTTCTGAAATACTCAACTTTCACAATGGCGGACACTAATTAGCATTGTTAAATTCATAATGTTGACAAAAGAAAACATTCAGATGATAGATATCAAAGCTAAAGATAAGCTCTGAAAGTTTCAAAGAAAAATATTAAATCCTCTGGAAGTTATAATGGTTGGAAGATGCACAAAAACACCAACATGAGGCCACCAAGGCCTTAGTAAAGAATTTCATACAAACCCTTGTATTTTCATTCCTCCATAACTTCGTTAGTATTCAGTCTATATCTTTAAAATTTTGCTCAATTACTTATTTCTGATAGTTCTTCATTATGATAGTGCTGAATGTTTCCTTAATATTGCCAATCATATTAAATCAATAGTAGGTACTTGTGAAAGTGGTCTATAGGGGTTTTTATTTACTGTAAAAACTTGCAGAGATGTCTATATGCACTAAACTTCTTTTCCAGGTTGTATTTATTCAATATTATAGACTATTATACTCTAGTTTAGTAGAACTTCTCCAGTTACACAAAATGGTTTAATTGGTTCATTAGCATCAATGCTCATTTTATTGAAATTTTTACATTTCTTGTCTACACAGATAAAATTCTTCAAAAATGGAGTTTGTCAGGTACAGAATTGAAGAAAAACCTATTTATATTTGACATGATTTGTCTGATTAATTGTTCATTGTTTTAGATCTTGTTATTTTAGTCTTGTTTATCCTCAGTGGCAAGCAGAGAATTCTTTTCTTTCTCACAAGTCGACAGAAGCAGCTTTTTTCTCGACCTTTTCTCTCATCTTTTTTAGATTTGTTTTTCAATAATTCGTACATGCAAAGACACTGATAATGTGACAACATTGTATTTTTAAGGGGGTTGCATTTGAGAATATCTTCGAAGGAACCTACTATCCAGCCATATCAGTTTACAAAAATGCGACAGTGAGTACAGGATTCCACAGAGCTTTTGTTCAAATACATTGTAGTTTTTGACATCCGTACTTCATAAAAACAAGCCCATAAACATGCTTCAAAGGAGACTAATTGTTTATCTATAGTATGTTAATTTGCTCATTTATTTTCTATTCTTCTAATTCCCGCTTTTTTATTCGCTATTTTTCAGGTGAAAATTAACGTTGGTCCAAAGTTTCAATTCCCACCAAATGACGAAGCTGTGCGACCTGTAAGTGAAGTTATTTAATAGTAGAGCCATTTTTCGTCGAGATTCTCATTATTTTAGACGAACAACTGTTTTGCGCGCGCTTATAGTAGAATAAAAGAGGCAAAGACGAATTTTTTTTAAATGACCTTTTCGGACATTAATCCCAAATTCTGGATTGTTTATGGTGTCTAGAACATTAGAAAGTGATCTTATTACTGTAGTTGCTAATTCCCGTGTGAACATGTTTAGCAGATCAGATAAAAAAAACTCATCAAAAAACTCATGTTTTTTTCTCTCTTTTCTAGATGTGTGAACGCGCTGAAGAAATGATAATTGAACAAGCCATGTCGGATTCATTGTATCACGTTGAAGCCCAGGAAAGACCAGCTTTACCGACGGACAAACCTCTATTCAGCGCGAAGCGAAAATAGACAAAAAATAATTCTTCTATCATCCAAATGATAACGGTCAATGCGTTTTGAATTTTTTKTTTAGATTTGTTTTGTATTCATATGAATATCGTGGATCGGTTTGTGATTGCGTTTTTGAATTCATGGACAATGACTGAAGGAAGGAATTGATCGAATTGAGAAAAGGAAACTAAAAATGGAGATGAAAAAGGGAGAAGAAAAGGGACTTATMATGAAAAGTCTATAGAAAAGATAATGAAGTCATGAAATGAAAATGAAAACTAAAAAATTGCAAAGAAAGAGAAAGAGAGTTGTATAAATATTATAGAGAAAGGTAAAGGAAAAAAAAACAAAAGTAAAAAATTCAAAAAACAGAGGCGCGAAAAAAAACTTAGTATCGAATGAAAACTTGTAAAGTGCGTGTACTTTTGCTTTTCTTTAGATATTGAATTTTATTTTAAGTAGAAAGAAGTAGAGAATTTAACCATATAGTTGAAATTACCGGAGTACAGTATTTCGAGAAAAGAAAACCGCGTTCCAAAGAAACGGAGAGCGAAGTTGACGCAAAGTTTGTTRTATTCAGGGTCACTGTATGGGTCCATCCCCTTCTTCCGTTCGCACTCAGCTGGGTTTGAAGAYAGATAACAAAATATAACGTTAAAAAGGCTTATATTTATTCATGTTTATATTTTGAGCATAATTGCAGAAAAATTTGTAAAAAAAGAAGATTGATGTTGGTCCGCCGAACTTGTAAAACCATTTTTGTAAGTCGTCCTTTTTTTTTTTTTTTAATTGTGTTATAATATTAAATGAACTAAAAAACAATTTTCGCTGCCAAGTTTATTTATTTATTTATGTTTTCCTTATTATATTTCATTTTTATTATTGTTATTATTTTTTTAAGCTTGATAACTGGGTTACAGCTGCAGTTGCGACCAAAATGGTCCAATTTTAGCAGTTATCTTTCTGGTGGAATATTTTTTTGATTTTTGTCAGGAGCTTGAGCATACAAAGCTTCCGGAACCCAATCAACGGAGGACAAAGAGCCTGAAATGCCTGTAGATTTATCAAATTATTCTTTTATATATGACGCGCCTAGTGCGTCAACTCGTGGGAACACATTTTATAAATGTGAATTGCGTATAACTTGACGGATTTTCTACTGGAATTCCGCCTTTTTCCTTGAACAGTGAGATCGTTAGTTTCACGTCATTGCCTTAAATTTTCTATAAAGTTATTAAGCTTTGATTTTAAAAAGAGCAGGGGTTGTGGAAAAGGAAAAGGAAATGAAAGAAAGGGAAAATAACAAGGATACCATTAAAGTGTTAGCTGTTGCCTGGTGACCCCTGATGAATGGCAGCACAAGGTCACGTGCCACAACATGACGTTTGTTTTGAGAGCACCAAGACGAGGCTGTAGTAAGCTGAGACGCAACTCTACGTCCAATACGACATGAAATTGTACAATATAATTTAGTTTTAGCCGTTTTTTCTCAGCAAATATGCGAAGACGTTCCAAGCAAGGTACTTCAGTACATAGTTTAATAAGTAAAGCATCTGCTAAAATAGGCCTTGGACGTGTATTTGGGTTAGTTTGTGCGACACGAGGCCTCGAAGTTAACGCTAATTGTGGGCTGTCATCGCTCACACACTCAAATTTCAGTTCACTTGTCACTATAAGCGTGCATGCTGCAAAAACTTGGCTAAAGCTTAGTATTTGTTAGCAAGTTGGTGTTTGACAGTTGCATTTTTTAGTTGAAAAAAACAATGTACTTTCAGTTGCAGAGGCTCATCCGTTGGATGGTGTGCGCTCAATGTGGGAATTTCTTTTTATTTCTCAATTCCTCCGGTTCTTCCAAGAAAAGCTAGGCTTTGTGCACTTGGATATAGGGGTACGTATAAAAAAGTAGCAACTTACTACTCTACAACCATGTAGCTCAGCTGGGAAGAACTCTGGATGTTTAATTAATCAATTAAATCTTTCACAATTTGATGTGTATTTTTTACACCGTTTGTACGTTTCCCCTCGAGGTGAAGCCAACCCTGTGTCATTTTGAGCAATATCGGTCGTGCAAGGCTTGCAATCCCATCCTTTTTAAACCTCAAGGATTTACCTGTTTTATTTTTTTTAAAGGAACTTGAGAATGCTTTCCTGGAAGCCGAAAATTATCCAGTATTTAGCATATTTGCACGTCTACTAAGGGTTCTTCTTGGACGATGCGATGTGAGGTAATCCGATGTTTACGATACTGGATTTCAGGCGGAAATTACGGCGGGGCAATATGCCYGACCGTTCGCCACCCAGTTATTTCGTTGTTGACACTATTTTATCACGGCTCCCTTCTCTGATAAGCTCATTGTATTTTTGTTATAAGAATTTCCAACTGGGAAGAGACGTTAAAGGTTGAACTAGAGGAACGAGGGGCAGAACCGAATCCTTTGGAAGATGGAAATTATTCAGAATTGGCTCCTGGAGATAGGGTATGTGTGTCCGCCATTTTAGTAATAGGTTCCTGACCTCTAACGTTGTCCGTAGTAATTTAGGGTTCTATTAAATCAAAGCAATTATTACGTTGTATGCTTTTAACTTAGGAGTGAGCAATATTATTTCTTTCGGGCCATTTGATATTTGTTAAGTTTTCGTAACAATTAATCAATTTCAAATCGCATAATATATTGATTTGAAATATTATTCTTGTTTAATAGTGTCTTAACTTTGTTTATTTATCGAGATATTTTATTCTCAACTATTTTAACGAGATAATTGTTGGAAAGCAGTCTATTTATTTATTTATTTTCACAATAAGTTGAATACAACTTGGTATGGTGTGATATTTTGGTGAATTACAAGAAGCGTCTGTATTGAAACATATAATTTTTGTAAAGATTAAATCAAGAACTGTACTTCTAATTTTTCTGTTGAAATATATTTGCAAACCTTGCTATCCTCCTCATTTTGTCCTCCTCCTTACCCCCCACAAAAATATCATCAACTTAAACAAAACAAATAGGGCAAGAATTTAGCTGAAGAAATCACTCTTGTCCAACTTCACATTCCTGAGCTCAGACTGAAATACATAAGATTTATTTTGTTAACAAGTGAATTATTTTGTTATCAAAGGAGAGTATAACTTCTTCAGGTCTTATCCATCAAAAAACATTTTGCCCTTTTGGGATTCCTCTGGTATCTTCTTGGTCAAGTGGGGGACTTGGGCCCTGAAAAGAAATTTTTGGATAATACTTGCCTCCTACCTTGTTTTCCTGCTCGGTCACAGTCTCCCTTCTTGATATTTAAGAGGACAGGAAGCCCAAGAGTCACCTAAGGAGGAGTCTATTCCTCCAAAAATGAAGTCTATTTTATACTTTAAATCTCATATTATTGTCCTGCAGTGGGTCATGTGCAATATTTTCTTAGGGGGGAGGGGGTAGTGAACATCAATATTCGACAATACTTGAGTATGTACTTAGAAAACCTGGGAACCCCAGCTCCTAAAGTCCCAGAATCAGTCTCAATTTTGTTATACATACAACCAGCTGACCTTGCATGATATGAGAGATATACCCCTCTATTGTAGACACTTGATTACAGGAGGCACTTCTTATTGAAGGCACTTAATTAAGTTCCTGAAGGTGTGCATTTTAGAATACTTAAGTATAAATTGTTTAAAGTGAAAGCGTTTAAAAGTATATTTTTATTTTTTCGGTATATGATAATTTATGCTTGTTTCTATTTCAGGTCTTTCTTCTTAAATGCATAATCGATTATATCTGCGATAGTGATGAAGAGAAATTCAGCGAGATGAAAGAATTTAAAGACGATTTCACCAATCCTGAAGTAGGTAGCCCTCTTAAACCCTGGAGATAATAGTTTGATCAGTAAAATGATAACTTAATACCATGACCTTGAAATTGATCTGTTATATTTATATCTAAGGAGAGAAAACCAATTGGACAAGATACACAGGGATACACGTACTGGTATTTTGATGGTGAGTCTTGAAATAAAATTCTACAAAATATCATTTAGTTTAGTAGTCATTTTCATCAACTTTCGCCATCTTGAAACATAACTATTCTCTACTTGCTCATACCCATAATACCTTCTGATTTTGGGAGGTAGTTATTGTTATTGAAATCATTTATATTTGAATAACAACTAATTTTATTTGTATCACAAAACCTACCCCCCAAAATCAGAAGGTATTATGGGTCATGTGCAAGTAGAGAATGCCTTTTTATTATTTAAAGCATAAGGCAACCAATGAGCATACAGATAGAAACCTTTGTTCACACCCATTTTTATATTCTCAAGTGTTTCTCAATGCATGCTCACCAGTCTTTAACATGGTGCAGGAACAATTCAACCATGAAGAAAACTATTTGCACATTATAATTTAACAACAAAATATCTCTTCGCTGTCATTGGTCAATAGTCAACCACATGACGTGACAGTGTCACAGCTGAGGAGTAATATCAGTGCATATAGCATGGCGCTTCAGAAAAGTTTGTCCTTAAATAATAATAAGGATAATCTTGGGCATTTTGCTGTGTGATAGTTGCCCTTGGAAACAGGATTTTCCTCAATTAACTCCACAGTTGCAATCAAACTACATTCTTGGGCGACTATTTGTTTTTTTTTAGAATATCCGGTTTCCATGGGCAACTATCTCCCAGCATAATGCCCTTGCTTCAATCATAAATTGTATAATTTCAAAAAATATAGTCAAAAACAAGATTTCCATTTTCTAATTATATACATTCTTTGAAGAGTTTTGCAGTTTTGACATTATTCATAGTTAGGAAAAAATGTTGATAATAATATTTGGACATAAGTGGCGGGACCCACTGGTTTAACAGTTTGACATATTCACCTGTGTCAATTAACATGTGCACAAAATATTAACTTCATGAACACTGTATGCAGTGTAGTGTCATATATGATATTTGTATTGCATATAACCAAGACTTAAATCCACAAAGTTGAGATTTTAAGATGGAGTTTTAATCTTATCTTCAAAAGAGGCGTTTATTTGCTGATGATAATTTTTTCCAAAGAAATTTACATATCAAACAGTTTTAGTCTTTATCAAAAAATCCAGCATTAATCTGTTTGCTCACTTTGTTTACTTTCTCAAGTTGGTAAAACCAAGATCTCTGTTTATGCTAAACAGACAGAAGTCATTTCTCCAGGCAACAAAACCTAACTCTTTGAAGGATTCACAGACAAAACAAGGGATTAAATTTCTGGTTTTGTATTTTTGAAAAGAGTTAAAAGTTCTTGTTGTAACAGGAGAAATTGACAGTCATTTACAAGGATTATGTGTCATGGTGACTGACCCCATTGTTATACCAAGCTTTTTATCTTTTGTTGACTCAATCTCCCTATTTGGAAGCCAACTATTGTCAGCCTGTGCGGCCATGCATAAAAAACACCTCATTAACATATCTTTCACCTCTGTGGTTACAAGCTATCAAAAACTGACCAATCACAGAGGTCTTTCTCAATTAAGCAGGTGACARCCCAACACTTGTTAACCAATCAGAATCCTGGAGTGAGAAGCTAGCGTTAATGTTTATAGGTAGTCCCTGTGTGAACARCCAATGGGCCCAGGGTTTGGCTATTGTTTGCTAGATATGTTGACAAGTCTTGAATAAAATGAGAGCCATTGTGCAGGTACCAGGAGTGGGTAATTAAAAGTCAGATGCCTAGCAAACAATAACTTATGATCAATGTTTGATGTGATGTGCATGTTTTGCATATGTTTTACAATCTCCCCTGYGCTGTCTTCACTCTCGAGTCAGCTTATTTGAAGCAAGAATCCAAAACCAAGCTTCCTTGAGTATGTACATTTCATATTTCATTTACAATAAGCTTTTTTTAAGTCTTTAAGCTGTTAGATAGTTGTAAATATAACCCTTTAAGAAATCTAAGTGGATTTTTTTATTTTTCAATACTGTGCCACCTATGGTAATTCTGTTCCAAACATGGATTGTCTAAGACTTGTCTTGCTTCATACCAAACAATGCATATATGTAGTGAAATYCGTCCTTGAAATCTCTCAAGTGGAAGGCTCTGTAGTAAAATATGTGGTGTAAACCAAGCATATTTTTTAATCTCATGATGAGAGGATAAGAATCAGAAGTGAAGTAGTAACAGTGTTATCTTCAACAATCTATTGTACAAAGATCTTAATCTCGCTAATAGTAAAACACTTGTCCCAAAAACTACAAACACTAAACATGATCATGCATTCCCTCCTTTACATCAACTACACAGAAATCTCATAGTTAATCGAAGCTTTAGATTATATAACACCCATGACGACTTTATTGGATCCTGGATGGGTTGTTTACTGGATAAAAGACTTAGGATTAATTTTCCTTGTTATGCGTGAGGATTACGAGAGATCATTGTTAGTGTTGTATTTATTCAGTAGCTGAGTCACTCTTGTACAATCCTCTTCAAACCTTTCTGCAATTATATTTAACAAATTGTAACTATTTTATGCATTGTGGTACATTCTTCTTATTATTGTAAACTGTAATTCAAAAACCGTATCTTTCTCAGTTAAAACTGTTTTGTTTTTAACAGTCTTTGACTTTACTAAATTGTTATCAATATATTTATTTGTATGTTATTTTATGTGGCAACAGTGTGGTGATAATTTAATTTGTGACTGTAAAAGTCTATTTTGAGCTAGTTAATATCATTGTACTCAGAATAGAAGATACTTACATTTCACAGTYGTGATATATTTTGAAGAGAAGTACTTAGTACGTAATTTATCATGATAACCTTTATACAAATCAAATCCATCAGCACAACTATAATCCTGAGATTGTTTGAAATCTTTGACTAGTATTTTTAGAAAGTAAAATGTTTGGTGAATTGAATTACAGCATATTTGATTAAATTTGAACTCAGCTTATTAAAAGTAGTTTAGTTTATATACTTTTAGGAACTTAATTTCCTTCTCTGAATGGAAATGAATGCATTGTATTTCTTATTATAAGAAAACTTCCTTCCCTGACTGGAAATCCATGTCTGTCCTCACGTGGAAACAACTTTGTTCATAATATCATTGATAGGTTTTTGAGTATGAATAGAAATATCACTTGAAAGTTTACCTAAATTTCTGCTGCTTTTCTTGGTTTGATGCTATGGATTTGGACTTCTCCTTGATACATGTAGACTTTATAATGTTTATTATTACTATTTATTATTTATTTTATTTTACTATTTATCATTAATGTTATTTTGACTACTTTTGATGTGAAGGTTTTAGTATCTTCTGCCCTTGATAATGATACATGTAGTTATAACATTTATTAATATTATTTATTTTATTTCATTATTTATTATTATTATTATTATTACTAATCTTATTATAGTATAGTGTAAATACTAACTCCTCCATCGCTGAATAAACTAATTATTAGATATTGTTACTGATTTATGCTATAAATTCCTTCATATTTTATTGTCTAATGAACATTATTAATCACTATTTTAGTATACTGTTTGTTTAAGACTATTTTCATGATTTTAGTGCTTGCGATTTAATATGTTAAATATTTGTTAATGTTATATTCAATATTGATTATAATACTTTTCTTGACCATAACAGATTTGAGACTTTACCGAGAAAAATCAACAAGGAAAGG